AGAGAGAGAGAGAGAGAGAGAGAGAGAGAGAGAGAGAGAGAGAGAGAGAGAGCATTGTGGAGTAGACTAAGGAAGGCTAGAAGGGGAGAGGGGACGGACGGACCAAACGACCGACCGGCCGGCTGGCTGGCTGGGCGGCCGGCAGCCAGCCAGCCAAGCAGCCAGACAGACAGACCGACAAACAGACCGACAGACAGAAAGAACGATAGAGACCAACAGACAGGCCGACCAGCCGACCGACCGTCAGAGACAGAGACACAGAGAGAGAGACACATACAGCAAGAGTGAGAGAGGTGGCAACCATCATAGCCTCAGCTTCTTGGAGACCAAGAACCTGCAGCCAACCGGAGGTCCTGCATAGCCATGACACATAAATTGTGTTGAGGCAAGCTGAAGGTGGAGGAGGCAGAGGGGGTGGATGTATGCTATTGAATTCAGCTCCCATAATCTACCTGTTCCCTCTTCTTCTCCTGGTGTTTCGAGCATTCATCAATTGTATGGGAACAAGAGCTAATAGATGGTGAGCAGACAGAACCCAACTGTCACCAAATAAATATGACAAAGGAACTAGAATGGTCATGGTTGGCAAAGACTGATCCTCTTCAAGATCTGCGCATCAACAGACTGATCCTCTTCAAGATCTGCGCATCAACAGACTGATCCTCTTCAAGATTTGCGCATCAACAGACTGATCCTCTTCAAGATCTGCGCATCAACAGACTGATCCTCTCCAAGATCTGCGCATCAACAGACTGATCCTCTGCAAGATCTGCACATCATCTTGCATTCAGGCGGTAGGAAGCGTCAGTAAACATACATCCTGCACACATGACATAACTTGCGCGTGAATACTAAATGCGTTATGTCTCAGCGAACACTTCCCAGTGTGGCCTTGAACCCTCGCCAGTGCATACAATGGTACTAAAAAATATGGTGATCCCCACTCAAGGGTGTACAGTCGTTGCGGCTAATGAGACCAGGTTCTCAAGTGAACTCAGCATGCTCATTTGCTAACTAGTATCCGAACTATGAGCCTCGACACACTACTCCCGAAAGTGGTGTTTTCAGGAGTGCAACGTCGCAACACCCGCTCCCGAATTTGATCCGTCAGGTCGAATTCGGGCGCTGTCAGAATGGGGCTCCCGAGAGCACTCCCGAAATCACCGCCTGCAAAGCTGCCTTTTCGAACGACCTCCTTCGCTCCTCCGAGTTTCATCCCAGATTCGGGACTTGAGCTGGAAGGGACAAACCGACTTCTACCAGACTGCTTCACACAGATCGTGTCCACATGTGACAACTGACATTTTCAGATTTGGAGCGCGGCCCGGTCGAGAGTGTTGTGTGGCGAAAGGCACTCTCGAGCAGGTTTTCACTTTCGGGAGCACTCCCAAAAATTTTCCAAACTCGGGCGTGGTGTGGCGAGGCCCTATCACCGAATGACGTGCTCCACCAAAAAGCAGATCCCAACAATGATGACAGGTGCACTTAAATTAATTGATCTGAGAGATTCACACCAGTGAACGGATAAAGTCGTGTCCTCACCAATCAGCTCTCCACGGCGAACAAAGCATCGAAATTCCATCTCTGGCCGCAGGTCATGCCATTTTCTCAACGCCAGCATGAACACTGGGGGCCTCGTCATCGCTGATCCTTCGCATCCATCAAACCTGGAACAGCATACAAACCAGGCACAGAACACGGCAGGAAAAGGACCAGGTACACAGCAGAAGCAGTAGTTCATTCATTGCTTCTTTTGTCAAGGGCCATACCTGCAGGCTGCTGACAAGGATTAGGAGACAGGATCTTTATTTTTGTTGTGCGTGTGTGGCGTGTGTTTGTGTGTGTGTTTGTCAACATCCCCAAACACACACTCTCTCTCTCTCTCTCTCTCTCTCTCTCTCTCTCTCTCTCTCTCTCTCTCTCTCTCTCTCTCTCTCTCTCTCTC